ATGCTTCTCGCTCCCCTCTCCCCCCCATGTAACTGCTGACATTTTCAGTGAAAGCACAATTGAATAATTAAAGAACATTTTAACATCCCTAGTTTAAATTGAATCTGGCATCATTTTTATGAGGGAAGTTATTAAATTAAAAAAGAGCTCTAAGGAAGTACATTGGCTAAGCTTTTATAAAACACTATAAATAACTGGCACACACGTATTTCTTTCCATTAGTAGGTATATATATATATCTTACTGTATTCCATGCAAGATAGTGGACTGCGTATCTTGAAAATTACACAGTTTGTGCGACCATAAAAACAGAAAATATAGAATTATGGGTAAATTTTGGACAGTGAACTTTAAGTCTGCTCCTCTTTGTGTATGGCTATGTGATTGTATATTCTGTCTCAAATAACATAGTGATAATATGGTTTTATTTATCTTTTAAATGTTAACTTAACATTTTTCTAGAAGTCTTATTGCTTTGTTCTGATTTGAAATAGCTATTTTCTAGAAGTTTGTTGACAATGTAAAATATTTTCTAATTTATCTTAAATTTCAACAGGTTATGCTTGATTTTTTTTATTATTATTATTATAGTTCCAGAATCCTGTGAAAAACTTAAATCTTTACTGTTTGGAAGAATAATAGAAGAACAGCTTGTTATCTTAGAGAGGATTCAGAAGTGCAATCATCCAAGCCTTGCAGTAGGAAACAAAGCAAAGTTAGAAGTATGTTTGAGTTTTAATATGAATTTTGAATGCTAAAGTGAGTGGACTAAATGTTCAAGGAGCAATTTGAAATATATTGTTTTTGTATTCACATTATTTAAAGAAAATGTTATTTAAAATTTACAATTGGGAGTACACACACATACAACTGTGTAATGGTTTTTAAATGGTTTACTTTTTGCAGAAACTATTTGGCTTCCTTTTGGAGTACATTGGAGAGTTAGCAACTGTGGAACCACCAGAGCTCAAAATGATTGACAAATTGGTCCTGTAAGTAATAAAACATGTTGACTATAGCCCCCTAGTGGTTCCAAGAGAAAAAGATAGCTGCTTGACAATAAAGCACACAGTGTGTTACTTAGTTTAAATTCTCCTATTAACATTGAAAACTAATTTTCCACTTACTTTATTGTGTTTTAATGTTGTTTCTTTTAGTGCCTTAGTCATTACTTGTATTAAAAAGCTTCCAACATTCTAAAAGCAAATTAACAGAATTCTCAGTGTGCAAGAGACATTCAATTAGAACTACATAATTACACAAGGAAAAACTATGGTAAATGAAAGTATATAGGGGTATGTCTGCACTACCACCCTAGTTCGAACTAGGGTGGTAATGTAGGCATACCGCACTTGCAAATGAAGCCCGGGATTTGAATTTCCCGGGCTTCATTTGCATAAGCCGGCCGGCGCCATTTTTAAATGCCGCTACAGTATTTGTGAAGCATTGTCCTTGAGTCGTGTTATGGAACATGATGGGGTAAGCGAGCCTTTAGGACCAATTGTGGTTGAGTGGCACTCATATTGCATAAGAAGTAGGGAGAGTCCTGACCATTACTTGCATGAGGTGAAGATGTGGCCAAAATGGATGACACTTTATTGTAACCGGGATTGCCTAGTTTTATTTCTGAATAGATTTAAATTGGTGATCTTGTAATCTTGGTTAGTTTTGTTTGGAAAAATTGCTTCTTCATACTTGAACGTAATAATACCAATTGGGGGACCTATGTATCTCAAATCTTAACTATATTATTAATACCTTAGGGTATGTCTACACTACCCCGCTAGTTCGAACTAGCGGGGTAGTGTAGACATACCCTGGGTTACTAAGTCAAGTATTTGAAAGTTAGGCAATGCCAAATTTGTTACCTATTATTACTCATTGCAACATTTGTCCTGTGGCCATTAGGGATGTAAACAACTACTCGAGTAGTCGACTTTCTGATAAACTTAAGCTCACCAAGTAGTCGAGTCACTACTCAACCACTCACTCCCCACCACCACCCTTGCTGCCTCTGTACCATCTCTGCAGTGCATTTGGGGTGCAGCGGAGACAGAGCTGCAACACTCTGGGACCTGGCGTGAGCTGGGACTCAGCACTCCCAGCTTGCACCGGGTCTCCCACTGCAGCTCTGCCAGGTGGCTCTTACTACTTTAAAAGGCAGAGCTGCAGCAGTCTGGGACTCAGCACAAGACAGGACTGCTGCGTCCTGACTTGCACTGGGTCCCAGATGGCTGCAGCTCTACTTGTTAAATGTAGTAAGAGCCGCAAAGGGGGACATACCTCAGACCTACTCCCACTGCAGCTCTGCAGTTTAAATGTTGTAGGAGTCAGACTGCCTGCAAGCCCAACTCCTACTACATTTAAACTGCAGAGCTGCAGCTGATCAACTAATTGTGTACTTGATACAAATTATATTGAGTACAAGATTAGTCATTTACCCACTTCTTAACATCCTTAGTGTCCATTCTGTGCACTGACTGAGGACTAAGTGCAAAATGTGATCACATAATTAGGGATTGTGATAGAGATGCAGCCGTGTTAGTCTGGTCTAGCTGAAACAAAAGACAGAACTATGTAGCACTTTAAAGACTAACAAGATGGTTTCTTAGGTGATGAGTTTTTGGTGAGTCTGGCCCACGAAAGCGCATCACCTAATAAACCATCTTGTTAGTCTTTAAAGTGCTACATAGTTCTGTCTTACAATCCCTAATTATATCTCAATTTTGGATGTGAATGTATAGCCATTTACACAAATAACCGATGACCCTGTGCTCATCAATTAATCCTAACAGGCACACACACAGTCTTCCCTACCCCCTCCTGCTGCAGACCTGTTCCCTTTCCCCCCCATTGGCCCACATACCGCCCTCCTGTAGTTGTTCTGGCCATTAGAAGGTGCTTACTAAGCAGCATACATTTGCTGTTAGCATCACTTTGGTGGTGGCATAGGCTAGACCAGGTCTACTCAACACATAGCCCATGGGCCGCATGCGGCCTGTTTGTTTGCGGACCATGGTGCAGTTTGGGTTTACACAGGGCTCAACACGCAGCTTGTGGGTGGGAGCCAAAACAAAAAAGTAGTCAATATGATGACTACTTGACTATAATGTTGAGATGCGTTTTAGTAGTTAACTTCCTGGACTGTCATTGCTCATTAAAAGTGCTGTAATATGGGTGGAAATCAAGTAAATATTGTATTTTATTAGTATCAGCAGAACTGACTTGTGTGTTGTGTAGTCTTGCCTTAAACTTTGTATTCATGCCTATCAGTGTGAAAGAAGCTAAGTATCAGAACATAACCACGCATCTCTAAGGATGGAGATGCATTTACATTGACGATCCCTGCCCAGTGTTTAGAGGTGTTTAAGTCTCAGCTTCACAAAGCTCTGGCTGGGTTGATTTAGTTGGGATTGGTCCTACCTAGAGCAGGGGGCTGGACGTGATGACCTTCTGAGGGTTCATTTTTTTAATTGTATCCTTTGGTATATATGGTTGTGACTACTTTCTTCCACTATTTGATCTGAGGAAGTGGGTCTGGCCCACGAAAGCTCATCATCTAATAAACCATCTTGTTAGTCTTTAAAGTGCTACATTGTCCTGCATTTTGCTTCATCTTCCAGCTCTATGATTCTATGAAATTCTCAAAGAAGTATTTGGATTATACTACCTTAACAGAACTTTTTGAGTACAACCGTATATTTAAGCAATAGAAATTCACATTTCACAGAACCTACTGAAAAATGTCAATCTAGTAAAATCAGAACCAGCACAGCCATGTTTGTACACCAGTTAATTGTCTTCTGCAGAAATAATTTCAATCAGAGTATATTCTGCTTTCAGCCTATCACAAATAACATTTCCAAAAGATGCTTAAAATAATAGTTCTTTATTAATATAAATGGGGTTGATAACGTTCATGGATTGATAACTTGCTAAAAGACAGGAAACAAAGGGTAGGAATAAATGGTGAGTTTTCAGAGTGGAGAGAGGTAACTGGTGGTGTCCCTGAAAGGTCTGTCCTGGGACCCTTTTTGATCAATGTGTTTATAAATGATCTAGAAAAGGATATAAATTGTGAGGTGGCAAAATTTGCAGATGATATCAGACTGCTCAAGGTAGTCAAGACCAAAGCAGACAGTGAAGAACTTCAAAAAGATCTCACCAAACTAAGTGATTGGGTAATAAAATGGCAAATTAAATTTAATGTTGATAAATGTAAAGTAATGCGCATTAGGAAAAAATAATCCCAACTATACATGCAATATGATGGGGACTAATTTATCTGCAACTACTCAAGAGAGATCTTGGGGTCATTGTGGACAGCTCTCTGAAAACATCTACTCAGTATGCAGCGGCAGTCAAAAAAGCAAATAGAATGTTAGGAATCATTTAAAAAGGGATGGAGACTGAGAGAGAGAATATCTTTTTGCTTCCATATAAGACCATGATATGCCCACATCTTGAATGCTGCATACAGATGTGGTCACCTCATCGCAAAAAAGATATTTTGACATTGGAAAAGGTTCAGAAAAGGGCTACAAAAATTATTATGGGTTTGGAATGAGTCTGCTATGAAGAGAGATTAAAAAGACTTGGACTTTTCATCTTAGAAAAGAGGAGACTAAGGGGGGTAATATGATATAGTCTATAAAATCATGCCAGGTATGGAAAAAGTGAATAAGGCAAAATTATTTACTTACTCCCGCAATATAAGAATTAGGGATCACCAAATGAAATTAATAGGCAGCAGGTTTAAAACAAACAAAAGGAAGGCTTTCTTCACTCAGCACATAGTCGACCAGTGGAACTCCTTGCCAGAGGATGTGGGAAAGGCTAGGACTTTAACAACCGAGCTAGATAAATTCATGGAGGTTAGGTACATCCCTAGCTTCTGTTTGTCTGGAGATGGATGACAGGAGAGGGATCATGTAATCATTACCTGTTGTATTCCCTCCCTTTGGGGCATCCAGTATTGGCCACTGTCAGCAGACAGGACACTGGGCTAGATGGACTTTTGGTCTGACCAAGTATGGCCATGTTTATGTTCTTATGGGTAAATTCATGATGACTTGTGTTTCTTGTTAATAGACCATTGTACAGTCTTTGCCAGATGTTTCCTGAAGCTGCAAGTAATAGCGTTAAATTTGTCCTCCAAGATGCTGCACATGACATGGAAGAAATGATTGAAGTCAAAGGTCGGGCAACATTTCCAAAGCTAGACATGGTATTTAATATATTTTGTTTAGAAAAGTCTATTGCTTTTTCCATTAGTGTAAAAAAATCAAGGTGATGTTAAATCTTGTTTTGCTTTTCACAGCTGATAATTCGAAATATGACACATTGCAGCATCTGTGGGCTTTCAATGCCCAGAATTTTCTGTCTGGAATAAATTAATTCTACAGAACAGAAATGTGGCTGCAGAAATTGAGCCACATTTAATTGAGAGGAGAAAACACTGATTCTAAATTAACAGATTTGCAAGGTTTCTTATTCTGTCTTAAAATAACTGAACAGTAATGTTATTGTAGGATTCTATGTGCCCCCTGCAACACTTAATGTTACTAAAATTACCACCCTAGAGCAAGGCAAGATTGTCCTTCCTGCTTTTGATCAAATGAAATGGATATTTTTTCTTAAATAAACTGTTTAAATAAAATGTTCCCCCCCCCCAAGGTTTAGTATTTTACCGTGCAATAACTTTTCTGCATCATAAATTAATAGAATTGTGGATGTAATACAACAATATTTTGAAATTTAAATATGATAGATAATAAATTAGGGGCCTTGGAATGAAATAGTTGAGCTTACCTGTTCACTAGTGAATTACAGTTTTATTGGATAACTTATGCTAAATCTATGAATAGACTCTTCTTTCAAACTATAAGTTGGATTATTAGGGCATTCAAGATGGGATGCTACCTCTTTGAAAATAGTAACAACTAATAGTAACAAACAATTGTTGTTTGGTAATATGCTTAAAAGACAAGCTATAAATCAGTGTTTGATTCAAAGGAAACTTCCTGCTTCATTGTACTAGGCTTAGTGAAGTAGTACAAGAGTGAAGACTGTAAGTAGTGTTTTGGGGTAATGCAGACTAAGGAGACAATAGGCTTAATACATTTTTAAGGTTGGATAGGTTGATTTTTCTTGAACAGTTATCCCAGTGTGGTTTGGGCAGTGCTTGTGAATCCATCATGGGAAGCCATGTTCACTTCTAGCATCTACATTTGCTATGTCATTGTCACAGTTACCAGATTAACTGACCCTCTGACCCTTTCTGATCTTTTGGTATGGAATTCTTAGACTGGGCCATAAACTAAAATCCTCTTTGATCAACCACAATTGCCTCAACAAGCCTGACTTACCTTCAGAGCTTGTAGTTTATTTTCCCCTGAGATGTAGTAACCAAACAGCCTTCTTAAAGCAACTTATTATTTTATTTAGAGCAAGAGCATTATAAAGAAAATTATCCATCTTCCATAAAGAAATCCTGGTAGGTCTGAGCTTCCGAACTCTTCGACACCAACAGAATGTGGGTCTCTTCTCTTAGCTCACCAGTCAGTTCTCTCTCCAGCTTCAAAAATTGCTCTTTAGAAGCTGTTTAGTCTTTTTCATCACATACATTGTCTTTCGGATTTGCGCAATGATGTCCTTATCTGAGGAGCCATTGTATTGCCTGTTGGAAAAACAAACAGCATCATTCAAGCAAAGCAATATAGACATATAATAAATATTCCACTGCTCCCATATGTTGTAAAGTCAATGATTGCTTATAAGTAGTCTTGAGATTACCGCATAGCAATTCCACATATAGAGTCACATATGTAAAACCGATTAAGATACTCAGAAACTGTTACTTACTGTATTCTAATTTCTTAGTCTGTTTTATCATTTTTTCAGCTCATTTATTTGAAAATTACTGCAATACTGTTTCCTACTTCTGACTTCTGGCACCCGGTAGTAACACCTGCATTTGTGTATATGAGCCAGTTACTTACTAAGGTATGTCTGTGATATTTTCTTTAAGTATAAGGCTTCAATGCCTCCATTTCTTTCTTATACTCCAACTTAAAATGCACTGGGATTAAGATGCAGGTTTAGAACTTTTTTGAAAAAAAATCTAGAAATATGTTTTAGTAGTATGTTATATCAGTAACTGTCAGGAAAATATTTGTGTTTACAAGTCCCACTCAGAGTACAGTCTTACTCTGACAAGATCACATCCACTGAGCTTTCATACAAAGACTCCACACCTGAACTACACAAAAATGAGGAAGCTTGTTAAATGGAAATCTGCAGTCACAAGAGTGAAATGCCTGTAAACCAAATAGAACAGTTTTAAAACGTCATAATAGAGGCTCTAGCTATGACATTTCAGAGTACAGTCCAGAACAGTGGGAGGTTGTCACCACCTGCCTTGCAACCTGGGCTTACAACCTGGGCTCCTCACAAACATACAAACAGTTTGCTGGCATGCACTGAGTGCCTGTGTATAGCTGCAGCATTACAGTGTGATTTCCACCAGTCTTAATTATCACTTGCAGAGTGACCACAATACATTCCTGGTCCTAACATTTCTTCAAAATGTGTGTTGTGCTTTGTCCCCAACTTTTTCCTAGACAGTCCAGAAATTTTAGGTCCATTGCTCCTGTAACAGAACAATATTCAACTGTTTCTGTTTTAAATGGAGTTACCCAAACAACTCAGTTTAAATACAACACTAGACTAATTAGATAAACTGGTTTTATTCTTTAATCAAAATAAAAAGAGAGAGCTTAAGTGATTACAAGTATTAGGTATTCATGTCAGAAATAGTTACAAAACAAATAAAGATAAAATGCTTCCTAGTACTAAAACGTAACGAACTAGACTCTGTTCAAAGTGAAATTGTTACCACCACATGTTCCCAGCAACAGGGCTGACTGAATTTCAGATCAGAATCTCTCCCAAAGTCAAATGGCTATTTCTTTTGCCTTAGGTGAAAGATAAGGAGATACTTTGAGGTGTTTTTTGTGCCTCACTTCTATAGTCTTTTGAAGTGCATTTTTGTGAGGATTACCCCTACATAAAATGTGGATCTGTTTGTTCTGGTCACCCTTCCTTACCAAAGAATGGCCACTTGACAGGTGATTGCCTATCAGCTTTGATGACACTTGGCTAGAAGTGTCTGCTTGTCTTTTGTCTTTGAGGAGCCAAATTATGCACTCACCAACAGAGACCTAGCCAGAAGGGCCCTCTTGGTTGGGTCCCAACTTTGGGTGGCTGGGCAGGTATTGGTGGGAACTAAGGATGTTAGAATGCGGTTAATTGACTAGTCGATGGAATTTCCATTGACTAGTCGATAGGCACTTCCGCATTCCACCTTTAAAATGTACAGGAGCCCATGCTGACTCCGGGATGCATGCGGGTGCCTGCTTTGAAATGTACAGGAGTCCCCAGTGCATTTCGAGGCCATGGAGCCTGCGGTCAGCTGGGGACTCTCCAGCTCCCCTGGGTTCTGTGTAGCATTTCCCCAGAACCCGGTGTCAGTTGGGGACTCCCCAGCTGACCCTGGGCTCCACAGCTGCCCCTTTGAAACATAGAGGCAGCGTTTCAAAGGGGCAGCCTCTGCATAGCTGATCCCCGGCTCAGCTGTGCAGCTCTGCTCCTTTGAATGTCAAGATGGCATTTTAATGGGGCAGCGCTGCACAGCTGATCTGCGGCTCAGCTGCGGAGCCTGGGGTCAGCTGGGGATTCCGCAGCTAGCCCTGGGTTCCAAGCAGCATTTCCCCATTCAGCTGACCCCGGGTTCTGGGGAGATGTCCCCAATCCCCCGTTTTAAAGGAGCTGCAGATCAGCTGTGTGGCAGCTGCCCCTTTAAAATGCCACCTTGTGGTTTCAAAGTGGCAGTGCCACACAGCTGATCCTCAGCTCAGCTGTGCAGTGCTGCTGCTTTGAAGTACCCCTCCCCCTCCCCTTTGCTGCCTCTATCTTGTAGAGGCAGCAGGGGGAGGGAGGGGAAATGACTAGTCGACAGACTGCCCAATAAGCAAATGCTTATTATTGGATAGTCTACTAGTCCTTAACATCCTTAGTGGGAACAGTGAGCCCCACGTCCCAGCCCTGCTCCCCACTGGAGCACTGGCAGATCAGGGTCATACCTTGCACCCCGGCCCTGCTCCCCAGACATGGCAGCAGGACACCGAAGCAGGATCAGCCCTGACCCCGCTCCCCAGCTAGAGAGCTGGCAGTGCAGTGTCAACCCCAGCCTAGCTTGCTGGCTGGGAGTGGCAGAGCATCATGGTCCCCTCAAGCCCATCCATGGCTACACCACTGTTGACCAGAATTGCACAGTAACCACATTTGTTATAATTTCAGTTTATATTCATAATTTTACATGTAACTTTGTTACATACGTTTCACCGTGATATTACTGACCACAGAGCTATTTGTTTTTAAATGGTATGTTACAAAGCATAATTTGTATATATAGTCTACATAATAGTATGTAGGCTGAACTTTAGTGTGAATTTGGTCACAATCCCAATTTTTTTTTTTTTAAAAAGTAAGAGGACAAAACATGCTACCATTGCTGAATTACTTGATAAAAGAAGTATTTGGAGGCCAAAACTCATCTTTTACAAATTGGAAGTCAAATCCTAGTGAGGAATTTAGAAAGGAGCACAAACTCTGAAAGGCAGATGCGAAAGTAATTAGGACAAAAAAGAAATGAATTGCTACTAGCAAAAGACACAAAAACTAACAGCAAATACTTTTAAGTACATCAGAAGCAGGAAATCTGCCAAAGTATCTGGGGCAGAGGAGGGCGCCACTGGATAGTCAAGGTGCTAATGGAGTTTTCAAGGAAAAAATGGCCATTGCAGAGCAATTAAAGGAATTCTTTACATCGTTTTTCACTGGAGAGGATGTGGTTGATATCTCCACACCTGAATATTCCTTTTAGGTGACAAGCCTGAGAACCTGTCCAATATTTAGATGTCAGTAGACAAGTAGTGAAACAATGATAAATTAAATAGCAATAACTCACCACTCCCACTAGATAGCATTCACCCAAGGGTTCTGAAGAAACTCAAATATGAAATTGCACAACTGCCAACAGTGGCATGTAACCTATAGTTTAAATCAGGCCCTGTACCAATTGTCTGGAAGATAGCTAATGTAACACTGATTTTCAAGAGATGTATCAGAGGCAATCCTGGCCATTACAGGCTGATGAATTTAACTTCAGTACTTAACAAATTGGTAAAAAATATAGTAAACAATAATCTGGCATGTAAATGAACTTGATATATTGAGTGTCAACAATGCTTTTGTAAAAGGAAATCATGTCTCACTAATTATTAGAATTGACTATGTCAACAAGCATGTGGGTCACCATGATCCAGTTTATAGAGTGTACTTGGACTTTCAGAACAATTTTGACAAGGTCCCACACTAAAGACTTGTAAGCAAACTAAGCAGCCAAAGGTGACTGGTGACAGAAGGAGGGGCCACTGGACACGTCCTCTCCTCTCCCAACTCAGGGAAGGGTCAAGACAACCCCCTGCCAATCCAGGCCCTGCCTCTCCCCACCCTTGCTCTGCCCCACCCCACCTTCTCTCCTAGGCAACAGGGGACTAGCGGGGCCAGCTCCAGTAGCAGTAGTCCACACTGCGCCCCCTTTGGACTCATCTGCAGTGGGGAAGGCACAGCAAGGTGGCTCCAGCTCACAAGCTGTTGTTCTCCAGTGTACCGCTCTGGAGAAGCGATGGAACTGTTCCAGCACGCCGTAGAAGCAGTGCGGCCAAAGCTGCCTTCCCCACTCCTGGTGAGTACACGGGGGGAGGAAGGGGAAGCCAGGGCAGTCTCAGCCCCAGTAGTCCCCCTGCACGGCCATGCGGTACCCCAATCCCTGCATTCATCAGCAGTGATAGCAGGGAAGGCACAGGAAAGTGGCTTCAGCTCACATGGCACAGCTCTCACCAGCTTCCGCTTGCAGGGAGTGCTAGGGCAGTTCCACCTTTCCTCCAGAGTGGAGAGGCCGGAGAACCATCTCGCATGACCTAGAGCCACCAAGCCTGCTGCACCTTCACTGCCACTGTTAGTTAGTGCAGGGGGACATGGCATGGACTCCTCCTGCTGCCAGCTCCAGCCTGCTAGTCCCTCTGCCAGCCTCGGGGGAGGGTGGGGTGCTTGTGGTCCCAGTGCAGACCCCTTTCGCCCTCTCCCTGGTTCCCGGGCACATGCACATTGCCTCGTGGATCAGTGTCAGGTAAAAGATAAGACACAAATGCTAGGAATAAATGGTCAGCTTTCACAATGGAAAGTGGTAAACAGGAGGGTCTCCCAAGGGATTTATGCTGTTCAACATATTCATAAATGTTCAGAAAAAGGGGTAAACAGTGAGGTGGCAAAGTTTGCAGATACAGCCGGTCCCTAACTTACGGCCGTCTCGACTTACGACCATCCGCACTTACAACCAAACCGGTCGTAAATGCGGGCTCCGAGTTACGAACGCGACCCGCGCTTACGAACAGCACAGTCGCAATGTAACTCAATGGGTTCCGAGTTACAACATTCTGAGTTACGGCCAAGCGTTTGATCCGTAATGCATTCGTAACTCAGGGACCGGCTGTAATCCAACATTGTTCAAGATAGTTAAGTCCAAAGCAGAATGGAAAGAATTACAAAAGGTTCTCTTAAAACTGGGTGACTGGGCAACAAAATGGCAGATGAAATTCAGTGTTGATAAATGCAAAATAATGAACCTTGGAAAACATAGTACAATACATACAAAACTATAGGTTCTACATTAGCTGTTACCACTCAAGAAAGATCTTGAAGTCATGTATTCTCTGAAAATATCTGCTCAGCATTCAGCAGCAGTCAATTCATAAGGCTGCTATGTAAATCTCTGATATGCACACATCTTAAATGATGCATACAGATCACCCCCTCCCAAAAAGATATATTCGGATTGGAAAGTGTACAGAGACAACAAAACAAGATGGCCAGGGATTGAACCCCATGCTCTGGGTGTCCCTAAATATCTGATTTTGAGAAGCTGGAACTAGACAACAGAAAATGGATCACTTAATAATTGCCTTGTTCTTTTTGTTCCCACTGAAGCATCTGGCATTGGCTGCTGTCAAAACACACGAAAATGAGCTAGATGAACCACGGGTCTGACCCAGTATAGCCATTCTTATGTTCATATTAATGTCTGTGGGTGTCATGAAATACAATGGGTATATGATCCTATTCATTAGCAATGATATCTTCCATATATGCTAATAGTACTTATTTAACAGGGACAGTTGATTTTATTTATAAAATACCCTGTCCCTCCAGAGCTAGCCAGCTATATTGAAATAAATTGAACAAAAGCGCCTCATTTTTTTTCAATCCTAAAGCCTTATTTGTGTAATTGAAATATTGAGATTCAGTTGCTCTTGTCTCATCTGACGTTGAGTCATTTTGAAATCCAGCAGTTGTTTGGTTCCTTTCTAAAAGTGGACATCATACATTGCAGTGCAAACTGTAGACCAGTGAGCAAAGAATAGAGTAAGAATCACAGAAACAAGGCAAGATATAAAAAGGATGTAATACTTGTATGTTAGTGCCATCCAGTGGTTAAAGTAGCTTTTGACAAGGCTTCTGTAGAATAATGCACATCTTCCCTTCAATGAGGAAAGGTATCAGATATTTACTAGGGAGAAGCAACATGTTTTAAAAATGATCTCAGTAAAAATATATATTAGCTTTTTTTTAATTGCTAAAAATGCCCTGCTGTGTAGATCATACATCTTTGTGAAACTCATTAAAATCTCACTGTTAGAGGCTATTATTTTTCCTTGTGTCTTGCACTTTAATTTTCATACTAATATGTTAATGCAAGATGTTTGTTTTATTATTTTTTTGTTAGTGCCAAGTCATGACGCTACAAGATGTTGTTAAAGGATTGTTTGTGTGTTGTTTATTCCTGGAATATGTATCGCTATCTCAAAGATTCATACCAGAGCTTATCAATTTCCTCCTTGGAATACTTCACATTGCTGTACCCCAAAAACGAACACAGGGTAAGTTTGCTTGCAGTGATAAATATGAATGTGCATTTGTTTTTATACCTCAAGCTTTGTTGTAATTAATAATTCTACCTTGAGAGCTTTATGTTCCAAATGAAAGACCAGGTCATCTCCTAGGTAGATCTCCTGAGCTGACCAGGAAACTAACCTCTCAAATATTGCAGTCCCCAAAAGATCCACCAGACACAAGTGCCATCTGTGTAGATGCCTTCTTCCATGCTGCTTCCCAGCCCTTATAGCAAAACTGCTCCTTCCCCTTTGACACCACAGTACAGTGAGAAAACCAGTGTGAGCTAATGCTGGTAAAGGTAATCTCTTTGGAGTTATGGGTTAGTGATTGAGGCTTCAGACTGCAGCTCATGCTACACACTCCTCATCTTATAAGCAAAATGCCAGAAGAACTGTAGTAGAGCTTCCATGCAGTCAAGCATACCAGAAAAATGAATGACACAAAGCTGATTTTCTCCTTCCTTGCATACCTACCTCGATTTGCTTCTTCCTGTCCTCATATTAACAGAGGGGACAATCTGGCCTGTAATGTAGAGCAATCTTCATTAGCACTTTGAGACAACATCGTCTAATAAACACCATGTAGACTATGACTGACTCTTGAATTTGGCCTTTTCTACTTACTCATGATTTCCATTCCAGTCTCTCTCTTTCTCTGGCCACTCCTCCTCAGTGCCCCATTTCTAGGTGCAAAGTTCACATGTTTTTCTCTTTGTCAGGGAATTTAGTGACAGTAATTCACCTATAAGGGGAAGAGAATTGTTGCCAAATCATGAAAATCAAATGCTTACAATACTTCCTTCACTGTTCAAACTTTAATGTGATTTATGGTTGGTAAACTATTAAACAATGTGAGACTTCCTTTGTGCAGTTTTATTGCAAGTCAGGTCTGCCAACAAGGGAGACAAAAAGGCCCTGGGGCTCCTGGCTGCCACTACTGCAGAAGTGGCAGGGGCTGGAACTCTGGGCCTTTTAAATTGCCATCAGCGCCCTGGGCAGCACACTCCAGGTGACACTGTATGAGTGGCATGGGAAGGCTAGCCTCAGCCCCACCCCTTTCACCTAAGGCCCAGCCCTGTCTTGGAGTGGGCTCCCCACTTCATCTTGCCCAGGAGCCCAGATATTCTGTTGGCCCCCTTGCTTCAAGTTTATCCTGTGTGGATTTTTAAAAAACTCCAACTCAGGTGTTTGTGTATTTGTTTGGTTTTGGTTGGTTTGTTTTAAGGATTTGCATTATTTAACTGCAAGTAGTCCTGGTTTCTAATTGTGTGTGTAGTGAAGGAAAGTTGCCTAAAGTGTCTGTGTGGTAAAGTGACACTTACCTATAAAGATAGTAGTTATTTACATGTAGACTATCAGAATTTCTGCAAGAGATATTTTAATTCTTTAAACATTGTATTGGTAATTGAAGCATATATACAAAAATTCAATCATATTTTAGAAATTCACATCAGAGCTGCTAAGATACTTTCTGTGCAATTCAATATGGCTTTGGCATGTACCTGCCAAATATCTAATCATTTGACTTCCTGGCATCTTGGGTATCTGTTGACACAGGATATTTTACACCTGATATTGTGATACATATTGATATGCTATCATATCAATACATTCTTTAATGTTTATTTTTAATAATTAGTAATATAATTTAATATTACTCCATTATTTTAAAGTTGAGGGCCTGATCTATGTGCCTTCCATGTGAGGAAGTGTTGTGGAACAACAGATCCTTAAAAAAGACTGAGTGATGATGTCTCAAATTGAGGTTCAGCTCTACTTAATGCTTTAGAAAAAAATGTTCCCCTTTAAAAAAAATCCATTGTTTTTTTTGGGGGGAGAGATGTCATTTTTTGGTAGGTAGCCTTTGGTAACATTGATCAAACATGCAAGTAGAATAAATGCTCTTAGAAATAGAGTAGATAAGTATAATTTAAACATTTAGGCCCTGATCCTGTGGGCATTTGTGCACATGCTTTATCTCACTACCCTGAGTAGTCCCATTGACTTACTGATACTTGTTACAGTAGTAAAGTTAAGCATATACATGAGCATTTGTAGGATTGGGGCTATAAAATCGAAACTTCATTTATCTTGACCTCCTGAGTCATCTTTGTACTTTTAGGTAAGAGACTTTCTTCATGCCTACCCATAAAGAGCCATTTGCATGAATTTCAATATATATATTATTTTTATTTTTGTCGCTAAAAGATTTTGAAAAGAGCTCCATTCTAAGCCTCCTGGGCTTAAAAACATGCTAGTTTCACAGATGTGTAATTTATTTTTCTTTATCATTTTTGGCCATTTCCCAGAGCAAGCTTATTTAGGACAGGGTGCTAGCAAATTATGCCTAGAAACCAGTTTAAACCAGGAAACTAGGAAAAAGAATTGCATCATTATCTAGCAAGCTCAGCAACCATAGAACAATTACAAAAAAAATTGGGTACATCCATTCAGACCTGAGGAACAGTTCTGGTCTTTCTGCTGTGTCAAAGTTGACTTTCAGCTTCAGAATGCTGTATGACCAAATGGTCCTGAACTGGTAGTCTGCAATTGTGCATGCTTCTGATTACTTAATGCTTCTAGCCTACAATCTGCATTATTGTCATTTTCATATGATCAAATATATTAAACTTTTCTTTATATAAAATATTGAAAATGGAAATTGGTCATGGAATATATAACTTCCTTGAGAAAATACCAAATCAAAATTCAGTGTGCATATATTCTTATTATACCTACCGCAGTTTTACTTTCATTTAAGATTGTATAAATAAAATCCATGAATCTCTGATTACATAAGGCAATAATTTGACACAGTAACTAAAATAAATTGTAGTCCAGTATGCATTAACAAAATAGATTAACTAGAAAATGCCTTTAAGTGGAGCTAATTATTTTTTCGCTAGCCAGTAAAAACTATGACTTTGTCACGAGTGTTTTTTATCAGGTAAATACCATTTCATCCCAGTTTTTTAGATGATAACCACATCAAATTAACCTTCCTGATTCTCCCCTAGCAGTGAAACTTTTCCTGAAACCACTGTCCTTGCTGCATTGCAAATTCCCTTTCCTAGCTGATCTCTTATTATAACCGCCACGGGTGCCACCGTCTTCGCTCTCTCTTACTTACTGCCTTTACTGCTGACCTAATTTTTCTGTAAAAAGATTACCATTGTGTATATATGAAATAGTTTAATTTTAATAAAGGATCTTTATAAAACTACACATTTTCTATAAATCAACTTTTTCCTGTCCTAAGATTAAGTTTTTATGTTGATAACTAATCTGTATATACTGTTATAACTTTGTTTTTAGGCTATACTTTAGTGCATCCTTTCCGATCAGGAGGAAAAAATTCAGAATTACTTTTGGTCTGTGATAAGAAGAATATGGAGACCTGGCAAAAACAAAATCTGCCACTCAGTATTGTGACTAGGTTAAAGGAAAGCAGCAAAACAGAAATGAATCATTTCAGGTATGTGAACAATATATAGGGGAAAAATTCAAGTTATTTATTTTGCAACTTCAGTGACAGTATACTGTCAGGCATGTTACTTTCTAGGATGAAAACTGAGGGTGTACAGTAGTAATCAATTATTTTCATGATATGGTTCTTGTTACATATTAATGAAATATACAATTCTTAAGTCCTGATGCTGCAAAGTGGTCAAATAGCAGATTCTGGGGAGCTAAGCACCCCCAATTTGGTTGGTTTCAGTGAGATTTGAGGATTGTCGGCACTTCACAAGGGTCGCTAAACATTTTGAAGGGTCAGGCCCTTAAGCAGTAAATAAATCTTGATTACACACAAAAATAACTACATCAAAAGAACATGGTTAAGATTGCAAGATCAAGTGCTCAGAAGTTACAAGAGATAAGATGGCCTGTGGATCTGTAATTCGTCCCAGTTGTGGGCATACATTAGGATTCATTGTTCAGTTATATTGTGTGGACATAGGCCTTATTTACTGTACACTATTCACATCATGCTCTAAAGACAGAATTATTAATTTTCTCTTAGACTTTTCTGTGGCACTCATCACTATAGTATCTCTGTGCTTCGCAAATGTCCGTGAATGTATCTTCACAAAATCCTTGTGAGGCGAGGAGTGATATTATCCCCATTTTATAGGCAGAGAACTAAGGCTTGGAGATTTAAGGTCCAAAGGTTTCTTCTAGTTTGGGGGGGTCTGATTTGAGATTCCTGGGACTTAGCACTTCATATGTTCAAAGCTTAGCATCTACTGACTTCAGTTGCAGTTGTGAGGACTCAGTATAGCTGCAGATCAGATTTCAGATTATCAAGACAATTACACAGTAAATGAGGAACACAACATTTACTGATCACTCATGAGAAGTTTGATTTAAGCATCACTGGCCAGAAATCGGTAATTTCATTTTGTATAGTATTTTGAGGTTTCAGATTTTAGCATTAGAACCCCAGGGTGCTGATGAGCAGGGCAGGCAAGACGGCTAGAAAGTAGGCAGGGTTCTGTCAGAAACCTTCCATGGTTTCAAGGAGAATCTTGACAAAATTGATAGTTGCATGTTTCAGTTATGACAAATTCAGAGGAAAAATGTTTCATTAACATTTTTTGAACAGCTCTATATTTAAGAGACTTGGTTAGTACTACTAAGCAGGGGCAGGGATAGAATCCAGTTGTCCAGGTCAGGATACACCTGTTTTAGCTATGAAACTGACCTTTCTCCTCCTGTAGTCCCTTGCAGTCATTCACTATGCATCTTTCAACATCTGCAAAAAATAATGTAGGTGTCCTAAAGTTAACAGCCCCTTCACTATACAACCCTGAAACATGCCCTTTGCCAATAGGCATCACAGGTAAGTACTGAATAAAGGAATAGTGAACCTTAATCTTGCAATTCAATCCCTGGCTCAGGAGAGAAATGTGCTCTGGTGTGACTGTGATATGAATGGTTTACTGGTTATGGTTAGCTGGTGGCATCTAGAGCGCCCCCCTGCCTGCTGCGGGCTGAGGGGCACTCCAACCTAGCCAAAGCAGCCCCCATCCACAGCAGGCCTGGTGCATCTCAAGTAGGAGCGCTCAAGCATTGCAGGCCCAGTCGGGGCATTCCACTACAGCTCCTGTCTGCCCTTCAGCCAGCCCACCCTCATTTAATTGGTTAACCGATTAACTAATTAAACAGAATTTTACATCCATAATAAAAATACACAAGTGTCACAACACACTATCACTGAAAAATTGCTGACTCATTTTTACATACAATTGTAAAATAAATCAATTTAAATATAAATATGGTACTTACATTTCACTTTGTAATATAAAAGCTTTATAAACAAATCATTGTATGACATTGTAGTTTATAATTACTTCACTAGTGCTTTTTATGTAGCTTGCAAAACTAGCCAAATATTTAGATGAGTTCATGTACCCTCTGGATGACCCCCTGTGGTTGAAATCCTCTGCTCTAGCGAACAGAGACTCTTTTGTCTATTCTCCCTCCCCCCTCCTCCACTTATCTAGGGTGAAATTCCTTTCCATCCCCAAATGTGGCAGGCAGTTAGACCCTGAACATGTGGGTCAGACCTTCTAGGCCATGGGTTCAGAATCTGGGGAGTGCGAAGAAATTCCTGGGGGGGGGGGGGGTTGCAAGGCAACCCGGCCCTTCCCCTTCCCATCAATTTCCTCTCTCCCTCACCCCTCGTGTTTTGTTTTCTTCCTCCCCTCATCAAGTCTAGGTGGATACCTAGAAAAGAATTCTTTGTAGTAACTCAGAGCCCTCCCCATCTTGTGTCCCATCATTCCATCCCCTTGTCTATTTGTCCCCATTCACTGTCTTCCAGTCTTAATGTCTTTGCACAGCAAGTCTTAGGTCTTTCCCTGTCATCCTTGCTCCAAATTGTATCTGTTACCCTTCCTTTCCACTCCCCACCCCATTGACCATCCATATGCTCTGTTTCCTAGTCCTAAGCACACCCACCCCATCTCCCAACCACCTTAGGCACCTGTCACTCATACCATTTCCTATGTAGATTTCCAGTCCCAATCTTTTTGCCCAACCAGTTCCAGCCCTCGCCATCTCTGCAATCCTTGTTACACACCGACTTCTTATTCCAATTTACTCCTTTTTCTTCCCTTAGTCCTACTACTATTCCTTCTGTATTCAAATTAGACCGTTTTCTCTTCCATGCTTCCATTCTCTTCCATAACTTGGCCAGATTTGGTTGAATTTTCCTGACACATAAACCATCCCTGCCAAATTTTAAGTGCCTGCTCCAAAGCATGAGGATATTAATTTTCAAACACAAGGTTCCCAGAATATTTTACCATGGGCAGATCAAGATATTTTTTTAGCCTTATTCATGAAAATGACTGAACGTATTTGGTCAAAATTTTCCCAATCAAAAATTCAGACTGAGGTATGCAGGAAAAAAAAGAGAAAATTTCAGCCCCAACAAAGGTACAAGAAGCAGAAAACAAGATTTCATTATGGATGCCTGACATGTTTCATTAAAATATGTGGCACTATCAGCCCTGCCTATAATTTGTTTAGTTTGAAGTTCTTAAAACTTCCATCTGCATATTCTAATTATGCAGTAAAATAATTGCATATGAGTTTTTAATATAGCTGTGTACATCTCTCTTAACAGGTTATCATGTCTAGCCGTATGTTTGGATCTTATTAAGAAATGTGCATCTCTCTATGGATCTTTGTCATCCTTCCATGAGATAATGCTACCCATCAGAGTACTACTTACAGAACACATACCAGTGAGTGAATACCCTAAACAACTGCAGGTAAATGTTCTTCCAAAACCAATTTGCTAATGCAGAAATTAGTAAATTCTGATATCTTAAGTGTGCGCTAACAAAAAATGTAAAGCTAATTTAAACATGAAAAAAAATCAAAGGCCAAGCTTGGTAGTTTTTTAGGGTTTGATTTTCAGAAAGCAGGGGTATAAATATGTGATGCATTCCTCTGCCACACACCAAATACCTAGGTGGTCCTTGCTGCTGTATTGTAAACGTTCTCAACACATTAATCTACTACTGCTATGCTGTAAATTCATGCCTCAGCTTGTTGTGTACTTAACTGGTATATAGACAAGCTCTTAGACCATTGAAGACTAGATCATTTTTTCTGTGGAAAAGTTGGAGTGTTACATAATATTTGGATAGATTTTTTGTGATGCAGCTGAACCCACTTTGTGGGTAGCTCCTTTCATAGGAATAGCATTCTGGCAGGGTTACTGTTTCTGAGGATCTTGTATGAATCTGTAAGTCACTGGTATATCAAACAAATATATCAAATAAAGTAACAGTTCACACGGGCACTGGTGCTTTAGTAAAACCAGTATAAATATTTGTCCGCTTTTATCAGTAAAAGTTAGTTCATTCTTTCCTTTCTAGAAATTGAAGCTCAAAATGATCTGAATGTAGCCTGACTCTCCTCTGCATTCAGTGAGGATGGACCCTCTTACTTCGCAGTAACACCCTGTCAAGCAGAAGGCACAGCATGAAATATTTTAGCAAATAAGATTAATGTAGATGGCATGGAAATGCCATGTTAGAGTCACAAAATGTAACCCTGAGGCAATGAATATTCAGCCTTAGAGTTTTAAGTTGAGAGACAGGAGCTGAGTTCAAATAGGTTTAGTCTATTGCTTCTCAGTCACACCAACCTGGCCTTTTATTTCTTTGACCACAGATCCTTCCTGCTGTCCATCACAGCACCTCTTGTAGAGCTGAGAGAGCCTTTTGAAAGTAGCCAGGCCTGAAGGCTTAAAACTCTTCAGGACTATCAAATAACCTAAATATTAACTCTGATTTTACTAGGAGAGAAGACACTTTGTTGAGGATCCCTTAGCTAGGAAAACATCATTCTTGAGACAGCTAATAACTGGTTTGTAAAATGTGATATCTTTTGATTAGCTTTTCAAATCCTAAACTCATTTACTTTTCCAGGAGTTGCATCAAAATGCTCTGAAAGAGATAGAGGACAAAGAAAAACACTATATGCCATTGGTGTGTGAGAAAAAAAAGCCTGTGCCATTGAAACTGTACACCCCCAAAATAGTAAAAGTGTAAGTACCTTAATCATTATAGAAATGAAGAAAGCAAAACTGCCAGTTAGGCATTGAGATAGTGTGATGATAGGCTTCAGGTAAAGGCTTGTAATCATTCTTTCCTAAATTTCCAAGCAGAGCTTCTGGAAAGTAGGAAAAACAAGGAGAATGGAATTGCCTCTCCTACATTAGGTGTACATAGCACAAAAGAATGACCTACCCCAATAAGCGAGCCTGAGAAATGGAGGAAGTATTGTCTGGTTTTACCATTAGGCTACGTCTCTTAGGCAGAAAGGCACTTGCGCAAGAGGGGAGTTTTGCATAAGAAGGAGCAGTATAGACTGCTCCTTCTTGCGCAAAAGCCCCTTGCGCAAAAATGGCAGCTCATTAGGGATGCAAAAGAGATGGCGATATTCATCACCATGCCTCATTCGCATATCTTCTTGCGCAAGAATGCGCAATGTAGACATAGCCTTAGAATATAGGACTAGAAAAAAGGATCTGGAGGCTATTCCTAGCTTTCATATTCATTTCTCCCTAATAGGTTCGTAGATCTTTAATGCCAGAAGGGAACATTATGAGCATTTGATCTGACCTCCAACAAAACATAAAACACAATCTGGGTATCTGCTTTAAACTAGTTCTTAATTTTGCACTGGGCCTGTCTTGGCTTCTCAGTTTTCCAGGATTCCCAGATTGCAACAGTGGCCAGAAACATGTTATCTTGGTCTGATCAACAGATTTTACACCTTCCTGTCACATACAGACCTTACTCCATGCACATCATATGTATCTTTTTGTGTTCTGAGCTAGATTATAGCCACATCCTGATTGTACTTGCAGTTAAGTTTGAAAGTATTTGGTAGCTTGTACTAAGGATGTTAAGGACTAGTTGACTATCCAATAAGCAAATGCTTATTGGATAGTCAAGTCAACTAGTTGATTCCCTTCCCCCCTTCTCCCCCATCAGATAGAGGCAGCAAAGTGGGGGGGAGGGGAGAGAAAAGGTACTTCAAAACGGCAGTGCCGCATAGCTGAACCTAGGCTCTGTGCGGCGCTGCCCCTTTAAAACACTGCTGTGACATTTGCGTGGAGCCCAGGGTTAGCTTGGGACTCCCCAGCTAATCCCGGGTTCCGGTGCAGTGCACAGAGCCCTGGGTCACTGGAGAGTCCCCAGCTGACTTCAGGTTCCACAGAAATGCTGTGCGGAGTCTGAGATCAGCTGGGGAGTCCCCAGCTAACCCTGGGCCCCATGAGGGTGCTTCTGCTTTGAAATACACAAGAGCCCCTGCTGGGGACTCAAGTACATTTCAAAGCTAGCACACCACGTGCAGCCCAGAGTCAGCAAGACTTCCCCTGCAGGGGCTTTTGTACATTTCAAAGGAAGAATGCAGAAGTGCCTATCGACTAGTCGATGGAAATTCCATTGACTACTTGACTAGTAAATTACTTGATATTTAACATCCTTAGCTTGTACTAATACTGAATGCAGTTGCACTCTGACTCGGGTAGCAAGGGCATATTACACCAATACTCTGCATTGGCTGCTGAATCACTTCCAAACGGACACACTAATTACTTTCCTAAACTATCTTATCTGTTGGTCTCAGTTACTCAGGAGACTGCCTCTGTTCCACCATTTACTTTCATCCTAAACACTTTCTGGCTATTTGCTGAATTTATCAGGAGAAATATTAACCTTAAAACACATTGGGAGACTCCATTCTTATCCAGGTTTTTCACTAGCTATGGATGCTGACCTGGTTTTAGTGAGCTAATATGGTTGTCTTAGCCTTTATACATCTGAATATATTGCTGTGTGTGGAAGCTTGTTGTGTATTGGCTCTATAAAAAATGTTATCTGCTCTTATTCTAAATTATGTAAGGTTGTCAAATGCTTTTATTGTGGTATCCTATAAATATGTAATTATAGCTGAGACTGGTAAGTTCTTGGTGCTGAGAGTTGCCATAGGAATGTATAAAGAGATAGATGCTACTTCTTGATATTCTATTTAAAAACTAGACCCTGTGAAGTATAAAAGCATATACCTGACGTAATATTTTATGCTTGTTCATACGTGCACATTATGATTTCAGCCTGGAGTTTGGGAGAAAACAGGGAGGCAGCAAAGAGGAGCAGGAAAGAAGGAGGCTGATTCACAAACACAAACGTGAATTTAAAGGAGCTGTTCGGGAAATCCGCAAAGATAACCAGTTCCTTGCTAGAATGCAGCTTTCAGAAATTATGGAAAGGTAAAATATGATTGTTTCTAACAGCCATTGGTTACTCTGTATGCTGGCCGATTTTCAATTTTGGTCTTCATCAAGACTGTCATGTTGGCCAACCGTATGTTGAGGCCAAAACAGCTTTCTGACAATTTGATAGAAACTACTACATGACTTGAAGTCAGTTACACCTGATGTTCATTACTTATCATCCTCCCTATTTTAAATGTGTTGGAATTTTGCTGTTTCTTTCATATAGTAACATAATGCATATTTCTAAGTACCATACCTATAATATTTTAACTTAAACTGCAGCAGAGGTTGGTGTTTCAAAAATTTAGCTTTTTATAAATATTTAAATCCACGCATATTATTTTGCCTGTTTTACCTGATGATGTCAGAATAAAGGTTTAAACATACTTTTGTTTTTATAGGGATTCTGACAGAAAAAGAAAAGTGAAACATCTTTTCAATAGCCTTGCTACCCAGGAAGGTGAATGGAAAGCAATGAAGCGGAAGAAGTTTAAAAATTAAGACAGTGACATTCTACAACAAGAAACGCTGGAACGTTTTATATTGTACCTGAAAATAAAAATGTTCTCATGGGTTTTGAGGTGATTTATATCTAGGTACACTCCTTTTTTGGAAAACGTGCCTTTTAAGAATAGTCTGAAAAAGGATTCTGATAAATTGATTAGTTGGTTGTGAAGAATTATCTGTATTTTTAATGTGATAAATAAAGATAACAGCCTTTTGTTTTTTGTGTACTTAGTATATTATTGAAAAATAGTCGGCTGAATAAGCATTCAGAAAATTGTACAGATTGTGCATTCTTGACAAGAATTGCTGACCAATTCTGAGAGTCCATAATATGGTGCATCGCATAGCTATTCTAAATATAATCAAGTAACAGGCATAGACTTATGTATTTTTGATATTGCAAAATTTCTCACATTGAATTAGCATCATAGATTTATAATACTGAAGATCAGGCAGTAATGTTTTAATTAGCCATTGGCTTCAGAAAAGTGTAATTCCTGTTCTTTAGGGCTTAATAGAATTAGTTTGTTGACAGTATCTGGTTAAAGCCCAGCATCCATTATCAGTTCAATAATTGTTGACATTTGCTTCATATGTATTGAATCTTAATGTTGGCCTCAATTTGCCATTCTGATACTCCATGTAACAAGGGTCAGTTAAACAGACTAGCTCAGCATCTTCAGAACTGTCTGATTAAGCTCACAGCTACATCTTTAAATCATTTTTGTATATTTTATAACAAAACAAGTTCAGTTACTACTGACAATGTATTCCATCAGCTACAGTTGTGGAGAAACAACAAATATTTCACCCCTGTTTCACAATGCAAAGTTGGTTGCCTGAATTGGATCAATATCCCAGCATTCATCACAAAGACTTATTTTGCATTCTTAAGAACCCTCAAGGATCTCTGTTGAAAAGTATCTATGTAAAAATGGCAACTCTTTCCTCAATTTCTGGGTATTTAATGAATTGAGACTGTGAATATTTACTGTTTCACACTTACTGCTAGCCCTGTAGCACCAGCAATGCAGTGGAAAAGGGAGCTGGCTTCTATTTTTGCATGTTTCATTCATAGCATTGTTCCCCTAGGCCCACTCACGTGAGGTTACTCATATGAGAAATGCTTTGCTGGATCAGGGCTTAAGTTCCAATTGGAAGGCCAGATTCTAACCATAGATCCCTCTATACAATCCTTTTCTTTCTATCTACATATTTATTCCATGCTTGTTACAATAGTATTTCAAATGCAGAATGGATCT